TTGGATTTGCCCTTTATAGACCACCCCTCAGATATAACTTCATTTCTCAGGCAGACATTGAAAGTCTGAATATCTTCTTGCATCGCGCATGCAGCTGACTCCCACTTAAAACTTTACGTTACCTTAAATCATTTGAAAAAAAAAGCAAGTCGAATTAATGGTAAATTTCAAAGCATATGTGTTTCAAAATATGACAGTTTTTCTCATTTATCCCTAAAGTGTTCTGTACACAGTGATATGTTAGTAAATTGAAAATCTTTGATCATCAAATGAACAGGAAGTATCGCTATGAATAACTTCACTGTTCCCACTTCTGTTACACCAACAGCTTAAAAACTTCATTACCGATAGAAATATGAAGTCTGGAATCTGTAAAAGTTTGATGTCTAGAATCTGCTATTGAGCGGGTCAAACATATTTCTACATCAACATTTTGCTGGTTTTCACAGTTTTATTCGATACTTTCTTTAAATTTTGTAACTTTGCATTTATATTGTAAAAATTTTCAAGTTAACTGTATTGTCAACTTTGACAAACCCTAAATAGTTCAGTCTTTTACCTTCTAAAATTGTTTTGAAATTTAATTAAATTATCATTACACACGGCTCTCTCAGAATTATCCTTTATACGAACACCAAACAGATGTATTAACTTTTTTTGTGACTAAAATAAAAAGCGGAAAAGTGTGTTTTGACATAAAATTCTCATGACCTATCTTTCAATCTGCTATCAAATGGCGAAAATTAAACCATTGGTTTCATAAGACACTATTCGCCAAAACCAAAAGTATTTGAACTTTGTCGATAAAGTAGGAAGAGCTTCCGATCTTAAAAAAGGTATCAAAATGATTTAGCTGTCGCCTCTGCTTAGTAGCTCCTATAAGCTATGATTTCTGTGTGATCTAAGTATCTGGAAACGTCAAGAATATAGAGTAAAGCATTCGACTGGGAATAGTTTCGGTATTACAGAAACGGTAACTGTGATGAAAGAGATGTTTAATTATAAATTAATAAATAAGTTGGACAAATGATGAAGAGTTGCAAGCATCTGACAGATAACTTTTACTTGGCAGAAGTAAAAATAGTTCAATGCTAATTTTTGCCTTTTTTCATAGATTGCTTGACACTTTTTTTAACTTTTACTGAAGTGATCTTTGTAACATATCTCTTTGTAAACACTTTTCATTCAAGTGCAAAAATTAATCATTTTATTCTCTTTTTCATTTCATTGTTCTTCGCCAAAACGTTTCTGAGGCACTAAAACATCTGAAGACGTTTCAAGAGATCTTTGTCCAGCGAGACAAGGCTAAGCCAAATTAACAGAACGCTGAAAACTATGACATCAAAGAGCCATTTTTTGAAAACAAATTTAGTGAGAAAGTTTGGAAAAAACTATTTTTGCTCAAGCGAAATTAAAAGAAATCTTCAGTACTGCTGTCAGAAT